ATTGATATGGTCAATGCCTTTTCCTTGATTCCAGTTTCAAAGGAACACCAGAAGCTGCTTACCTTCAGCTAGCAAGGCCAGCAATATACCTGCATTGTCCTACCTTTACGGGAGTTCTGGTGGCATAGTAGGTAAGGCATTTGGTTGCTAACCAGAAGGTGGTTCAAACCCCACAGATGCTCTGCAGAAGGAAGATGAGGCAATCTACTTCCATAAAGATTTACAGCTTTGGAAATCCAATGGAGGTTGCTGAGTCAGAATTGACTCAATGGCAGTGGTTTGGTTTGGGTCCTACCTTAGTGGTATACCAGCTCTCTAGCTCTATGTCATAATATAGTCCATAGGGACCTTGATTGCCTTTCTCTTCCATAAGATGTCACACTGGTCCATTACACTGATCACATTATGCTGACTGAATTTAGTAATCTGGTTGATTAGTCCTACTTTCATGAGACAAGTGATGAAAGAAAGAGATAAATTCAGTTTCAGAGTCATAGCTCAAGTACCACATACAAAACCTAAAAGTTCTCACTTTTTCCCTGAAAGAAAACTTATGTCTTGTAGTAACAGAGCTGATATTGCCAAAAACCAAACCCAGGGTCTTAGTGGCTCAATTACAATGTCAACTGAATCCCCAACCTTGAATAGTGTCTGAAGTTAAAGTGAGAGCACTGATTGGGAAGAAATGGATTCTGAAACTTGGGTTAGGGACATATGGGCAGATAAGCAGGAAGATGGAGATACTGAGCCCTTAAATTCCACTGAGTCATTTCTGCCAAAGAACCAACCCTCTTACTCCCATCCGAAGAGATTACTCCATTTTTGTTTAAGCTGCCCTCAGTAAAATCATTATCCCATCCACCCATCTGATGAGTTTGACCCAGATGTGTCTGAAGAATCAGTTGTCTGAGATATTGCCTGGTACAGTGATTGAGGAAGAAAGTAGTTCTAAATACCAGCTATGACCATGTGACCATTTGCAGAAATGAGGACTTTGAGTATTTCTTCCTTGTTTTATGTGTATGTGTGCATGTGTATATATATGTGATGTATACATGTATCTTTGTTATCTTCTCTTATTCCATTACTTATTATAAAATATAAGATGTAAATGGGGCTAGTGTGTTTTTGTTTGTACACATTAGCTGTCTCATGTTAGGTACAAGTACGACTATAATTGTCTTTATTTGCAGTTATGTATGGTTTAAGGAGCTATGTACAGGTGCCAAGTTCACAAGGGGTGTAGCTAGAAAAACCTATGGGGCAGTTCTCCTCTGTCACATGGCATCTCTATGAGTTTGAATCAGCTCAGTGGCAACTAACAACCACCTGTTGTGCCAGCCTCATCTTGCCACTTCCTTCATATACCCTATGCTACTACCTTGACATGATTCTTAATGCTTCTGAGTAAGCAGGCTCTCTGATGCCCCAGGAATCTTTGCAAACTTTTCCCTCTGCCTGGAATGCTGATTTCCCTCATCTCTAGTTAGTTTGGAAATTACGACTCATTCTTCAAATCCCTATGTATTTTCCCTGAGAACCTTCTCTACCTCCCGTAGACAGGCCTCCTCCTCTTAACTTTCATACCACTTTGAATATACTTATACATACTCGTAGGAGCTCTGGTGGTGCTGTGGTTCAGACCTTAGGCTGCTAACTTAAAGCCTGCCATTTGAATCTACCAGGTGCTACACAGGAAAAAGATGAGGAAGTCTGCTTCCATAAAGATTTACAGCCCTGGAAACCCTTTGGGAAAGTTCTGTTCTGTCCTATAGGGTCACTATGTATTGTTATGTATTGGAATCAACTTGATGGTAGTGAGTATGCATACTGGTATAATAGCAGGACTTATTATTTTCATGGCTGATTCCTCACTAGATTGTGAGTTCCTTAAGGGAAAGGTCATGTCTCTTCATGGTGTTATCACTTGGTACAGCACTTGCAATGTTGAGAGTGATCAGACTGATCTGGATAGGATACCTAAACTTAATAGCTGTGTGGCCTTAGGCATATTAACCTCTCTGTGTTTCATGGTTCCACATCTGTAAAATAATGCTAATAATACCCCTTAAACTGGACTTCACCAGATGGAATACAAAGAAATCAAATTGACTACATATGTTGAAAGAGGCAATGGAGAAGCTCAGTGTTATCAGCCAAAACAAGGCCAGAAACTGACTGTGGAACAGACCATTGACTGCTCATATGCAAATTCAAGCTGATGCTGAAGAAAATTAAAACAAGTTCATAAGAGCCAAAATATGACCTTGAGTATATCCCACCTGAATTTAGAGACCATCTGAAGAAAGATTTGACGCAATGAACACCAATGACCAAAGACCAGACAAGTTGTGTGATGACATCAAGAACTTCATACATGAAGAAAGCAAAAGGTCACTACAAAGACAGGAAAGGATGAAAAGACCAAAATGGATGTCTGAAACTTGATCTTGAATGGAAAGTAGCTAAAGCAAAAGGAAGCAAAAGGAAGAAATATTGAAATAAAAGATCTGAATGGAAGATTTCAAAGGGTACCTTGAGAAGACAAAGTAAAGTATTATAGTGAAATATGGAAAGACCTGGAATTAGAAAATCAGAAGAGAAGAACATGCTCAGCATTTCTCAAGCTGAAGGAACTGAAGAAAATATTCAAGCCTTGAATTGCAATACTAATGGATTCTATGAGCTAAATATTGAATGATGGAGGAAGCATCAAAAGAAGATGGAAGGAATACACCGAGTCACTCTACCAAAAAGAATTGGTTGATGTTCATCTATTTCAGGAGCTAGCATAATATCAAGAACCAATGGTATTGAAGGAAGAACTCCAAGCTGCACTGAAGGAACTGGCAAAAAACAAGGTTCCAGGAGTTGATGGAATACCCACTGAGATGTTTCAACAAATGGATGAGATGCTTACTTGTTTATGCAAGGAAATTTGGAAGACAGCTACCTGGCCAACTGACTGCAACAGATCCATATCTGTACCCATTCCAAATAAAGGTGATAAACAGAATGTGGAAATTATCAAAACAATATCATTAATATCACATGCAAGTTATATTTTGCTGAAGATAATTCAAAAACAGTTGCAATAATATATTGACAAGAAACTTCCAGAAATGTAAACTAGATTCAGAAGAGGACATGGAATGAGGGGTATCATTGATGATGTCAGATAGATTTTGGCTGAAAGCAAAGAATACCAGAAAGATGCTTACCTGTTTTTTACAGACTATGCAAAGGCATCTGACTGTGTGGATCATAATTATGGGAAATATTGTGAAGAATGGGAATTCCGGAACACTTAATTGTGCTGTAAAGAAAACTGTGCAGAGGACAAGAGGCTGTCATTCAAACAGAACAAGGGGATACTGCATGGTTTAAAATTAGGAAGGGTGTGTGTCAGACTTGTATTCTTTCACCATACTTATTCAGTCTGCATGCTCAGCAAATAATCTGAGAAGCTGGACTATATGAGTAAGAACGCAGCATCAGGATTGGAGGAAGACTCATTAACCTGCAATATGCAGATGATACAACCTTGCTGAAAGTGAAAAGGACTTGAAGCACTTACTGATGAAGGTCAAAGACTACAGTCTTCAGTATGGATTATACCACAACATAAAGAAAACAAAAATCCTCACAACTGGACCAATAAGGAACATCATGATAAAGGAAGAAAAAATTGGAGTTGTCAAAGATTTCATTTTACTTGGATCCACAATCAACACCCATGTAAGCAGCAGTCAAGAAATCAGACTTGTATTGCATTGGGCAAACCTGCTGCAAAAGACCTCTTTAAAGTTTTGAAGAGCAAAGATGTCACTTTGAATACTAAAGTGCGCCTAACCCAAGCCATGGTATTTTCAATAGCCTCATATGCAAAGCTGGACATTTATTAAGGAAGACCGAAGTGTTGATGGTTTTGAGTTTTGGTGTTGGCAAAGTATGCTGAAAATACCATGGACTGCCAGAAGAACAAATCTGTCTTGGAAGAAGTGCAGCTGGAAGTCTTCTTGGAGGTGAGAACAGCCAGACTTCATCTCATCTACTTTCTTCATGTTGTCAGAAGGGACCATTCCTTGGAGAAAACCATCATGCTTAGTGAAGTGGCGGGTCAGAGAAAAAGGGGAAGACCCTCAAGGAGATGGATTGACACAATGGCTGCAAGGATGGGTTCGCCCATGGCAAGGACTGTGAGCATGGCACAGGACTGGGTAGTTTCATTCCGCTGCACGTAAGGTTGCTTTGAGCTGGAATTGACTCGATGACACCTAACAACCACAAACTGAACCACTGTAGACTAAATAACAAAACTTTTGTGAAGTTCCTGGTGTATACTTGGCACTTAGGATGTAAGTCATGGCTATTGGGTGTCTTCTATAAATATTTGTTGAATCAATTTAACACAATTTAGGAAGGGTGCTAGCTATGATTACGCTATTATTCCTACTAGGTGCCAAGTACTGTGTTATAAAGGGGTGCGGTTATCATGGTCTCAAAAGGGTCTCATTGTTGCATTTTAGGAACACAGGTGCTGGGCACCGAGACTAGGGTAGCGCTGCCCACTCCTTGTGTTTGGTAGGAATGTAGTGCGACGTCCCTCCTATCGCTCGCTGTTCGTAGCTCAAAGATAGGCTTGGGCTTGGTGACCTCACCGAACAAACCAACATCCCTCTAGACGCCTCTTCTCTGCTTCCTCGGTTCTTCGGACGCCGAGTCTTGCGCTCCGAGCGCCCCCAGGGTTCGGAAGATACCACCCCCATTTATAAGCGAGATTGGCCCCGCCCACCTCGCGCTCGCTAGGGGCGGGGCCTGCGGCTGCGTGCTATCGTCACTTCCCGCGGACCCGGAAGCACCGCTGTGGGCAGTCCGGGGTAGTTAGTAAGTCGTGATGGAACTGCGTTTAGCGTAAACCTTTGCGGAGCCGGGGCTGGCCTCGGCTGCAAGAGGCCAGGAGAGCGAGGAGCGCGGAGCGGCTGGTGGGCCAGAGTGGGCGGGCCCCGGCCGTGCGCTCCGCGCGTGCCAGAGTCGCCCCGCCTTCGGGATAGGACCTGCCCCGCCCCTAGGACCCGGACCCGGCTGGCTCTCTTGCCAGGCTGCCCCGCCGCATCCGGTCTGGGACTGCTGGGAGAAGCGGGTGTGCGGCCTGGCCATCCTTTCACCATCGATTGCTGCTCCTGCCACGTCTTCGCAGCCTTCTCCCGGCTGCCCGAACGCTGACGTGGAGCAGACAGCCCCGCACCCCGATGGAGAAGTTTGGGATGAATTTCGGGGGCGGCCCGAGCAAAAAGGACCTGTTAGAGACCATAGAGACGCAGAAGAAGCAGCTCCTGCAGTACCAGGCACGGCTTAAGGATGTGGTGCGCGCCTATAAAAGCCTGCTGAAGGAGAAAGAGGCGTTGGAGGCCAGCATCAAGGTGCTATCGGTGTCCCACGAGGCGGATGTGGGTCTCGCAGGTGTCCAGCCTCCAGGCCTGACTTTTCCTGACTCGGTTGATGACCGGTGCTCCACTCACAGCGGGGATAGCACCGGAACAGCCACCAGCTTGGATACTGCTGCCAGTCTCACTAGCACCAAGGGTGAGTTCGGGGTAGAAGATGACAGACCAGCCCGTGGACCACTGTCTCCGAAGTCCGAAGAGGCCAGCGGGTCGGAGAGTGGCGTTAGCAGTAGCAGTGGGGACGGGCCGTCGGGGGGCGGGGAGGTGGACAAACGACTCCACCAGCTGAAGGCTCAGTTGGCCACTTTGACCAGTTCTTTGGCTACAGTCACTCAAGAGAAGTCCCGCATGGAGGCTTCTTACCTGGCTGACAAGAAAAAGATGAAGCAGGACTTGGAGGATACCAATAAGAAGGCAGAGGAGGAGAGGGGCCGTCTGGAGGGGGAATTAAAGGGGCTGCAGGAGCAGGTGGCGGAAACCAAAACCCGACTTATCACGCAGCAGCGTGATCGTGCCCAGGAGCAGAGTGACCATGCCTTGATGCTGCGGGAGCTCCAAAAGCTGCTCCAAGAGGAGAGGACCCAGCGCCAGGACCTGGAGCTTCGGCTGGAAGAGACCCGAGAAGCCCTGGCTGGGCGGGCATATGCTGCTGGCCAGATGGAAGGGTTTGAACTGCAGACCAAGCAGCTGACCCGAGAGGTGGAGGAGCTGAAGGGTGAATTGCAGGCTCTTCGGAACGAGAAGAATCGACCGGACCCCCGGCTCTACGACCTTCAGGAAGAGGCTGCCCGCCTCAAGAGCCATTTCCAAGTTCAGCTGCAGCAGGAAATAAGGAAGGTAATTATCTTGGTTTCCTTCAAACATTAGTCATTTAGCTTCCTTTGGGAGTTAGCACTTAGTGGCTGCTCTGGCAGTTTTGATGCTACCTGAAAAGTTCCATTAGGGAGTCCTGGGCAATCCTGTTGTGCGTGGTGTTGCCAGTCTCCCCAGGGTGTACTTCCAGCAGGATGTGGAGCTTCTGAGTGTAGGCAGAGCGGGAGCCAGACAGCTGGCATCTTCCCAGCTGGGCTCTGGGACACAGTGTGGTGGCAGCTACACTGTGAAGGGTAGGGTGTGGGTCTATAGAGGGCTGAAGGGGGCAAAAGGGGTTTTTCAGAAGACACAAGCTCTTGTAATTGCTTTCAGTCAGGATTTGCCCATTCTGGAAAGGTGTGCTATTTCACAGGGTATCCTTTCCTTGTGGAGAGAGATCTAACTCAGTTTTGAACTTCCCAGAATATTGGAAGAGAAAAAAAAAAAAGGATCATGATTTCTTATAAGATTTGGAGAGGCATATAATAAACAAAGGTAGCACTTTATACGTGAGCTAGGTGTATCCTAGGAGAAAGTGGAAGCTTTAAAGAGGAACAACAAGTATACAAAGGTTTGGTATAGTATGTGTCTGGAACAGAACCCAAGCAAGTTATAGGAGCTGAAAAATTTTCCACAGAAAAATTCCAACTCTTGCCAGGCCCTCCCAGTCCTGTGGCTTTTTTGCTCCCCCCTCTTGCTTTCTCAGGAGCTCTGATGGCGTAGTGCCTAAGGCATTCAACTGCTAACCAGAAGGCTAGCGGTTCAAACCCACCAGCCACTCCTTGGAAGGAAGGTTGAGCAGTCTACTTCCGTAGTGATACTGTCTTGGAAACCCAAGGAGGGTTTGCTATGAGTCGGATCTGACTCCACGGCAATGGTTGTGTTGCTTGCTTTCTCAGAGTTTGCTCTAGGGCCTTGTGGCTTTCCTGGGTGCGTTTCTATCTGTTGCCTTGTTTTGCAGACAGCCCTTGCAGAGGAGCAACTCCGTCAGCAGTCTCAGGTGGAAGAGCAGAGAGTGGCAGCCCTGGAGAACCAAATATCCGAGGTGTCTGAACTGCTGGGCACCTACGAGAAAGCCAAACAGAAAGACCAGCTGGCCATCCAGAAGCTGAAGGAGCGCGTTCTGCAGCTGGACCTGGAGAACAAAGCGCTGGCTCTCGCAGCCTCCAGCCGGTCCCCGCTAGACAGCCATGGTGAGGAGTGCAGTCTGGACGTCAACGTCCTGAAGGACAAGATGGAGAGGCTGAAGAGGCTGCTGCAGGTGGCAGCCAGGAAAAGCCAGGTGGCCTTGGATGTGGAGAAGCTCAGCAGCCTGGAGATCATGCCCAGCTCCGAAGCTGCAGACGGGGAGAAGGCCACCGCCCTCTACTACCAGCAGGAGCTGAAGCAGCTGAAGGAGGAGTTTGAGAGGTACAAGATGAGGGCCCAGGTTGTCCTCAAGAGCAAGAGCACCAAAGATGGCAACCTGGCCAAGGAGCTGGAGGAAGCCCAGGAGCAGCTGGTGGAGCTGAAGGAGAAGTACATCTCCCTGCGGCTGTCTTGCGAGGAGCTCGAGCGCCAGCACCAGCAGGAGGCCGCGGCCTGGAAGCAGGAGCTGGCCCGGCTGCAGCAGCTGCATCGGCAGGAGCTGGAGCGCAGCCAGCTGGACTTCCGGGACCGCACGCTGAAGCTGGAGGAGGAGCTGCACAAGCAGCGGGACCGGGCCCTGGCTGTGCTGGCCGAGAAGGACGCGGAGCTGGAGCAGCTGCGCGCCGTGGCCCTGGCCTCCGGCCTGCCGGGGCGGAGAAGCCCCGTGGGCTCCGGGGACCCAGCGGACGCGTCGTCCTCCGAGAGCCTGACCCAAGCCCTGCACCTGGCGGCGGCCAGCGAGCCCACTTTCTTTCTGTACGCCGAACAGCTGGCCCGCAAGGAGGTGGAGATCACCTCGCTGCGAAAGCAGAAGCACAGGCTGGAGGCCGAGGCCCGGCAGCTGCAGGACCGGCTGCTGGAGGAGGGGGAGCGGCACCGCGAGGAGGTCGGGGCCCTGCAGAGCCACATCGCAAAGAACATCCGGGACCAGAGCAGGGAGGGAGCCAACCTGGAGTACCTCAAAAACATCATCTACCGCTTCCTGACCTTGCCAGACACGCTGGGCCGCCAGCAGACACTCACAGCCATACTGACGATTTTGCACTTCAGTCCTGAGGAAAAACAAGTGATCATGCGGCTCCCGGCCAGCGGTAGCTGGTGGCCTTCGGGCAAGAGATGATGCCGTTTTCACTAACTCCGAGATTCCTGTGCCTCTTTTGTATGGGAAGGGGTGGGCTCTGGCTTTGACCATCTTGTCTCTTTAACCTTTCCTTCTTCACTGTGCTGAGCTCAGAGGAGTCTTCACCGTGGGATGGGATTTTCTGCCAAATGCCATTAATTTATCCTTGGGCCCTGGGGATATGGAATGTGTTGGGACAGCATCTTCTGGTGGTCTGGGTGTGTGTCGGGAGGAGAGGTGCGAAAGGTAGGGAAGAGGTGCGAAAGGTAGGGAAGAGGTGCGAAAGGTAGGGAAAGGGTGCGAATCTTGTAAGATACGATTTTTGGTTTTAATATTATGCTCCCAGCTCAGATCGAGGAGTGGCTGACTCCCAAGGGAGTTCAGTGCACTAATATCTGCAGAGGTAATGGGATGCTCATCCAGAACACAGTCACCAGCCACTTAAGTCCATCTCATCAGTCTGCACCTGGCCCACTGCTGCCCCAATTATCTGAGACATCAGTCCAGGCTGGAAAGGGACCAGGAGGTTTGAAATAGTGACAAATTGTCCGTTAGTCTAAAGGGCTAAGTAATAGCCCATTTGGCACCAGGAAATATGTCTAGTTAGGACCTGGGGGCAACTGACACAATGCGGACTAAACACAGTACTTGTGACCCACCAACAGAGAGTCCTAAGCACCATGTTGATGTTGAGATTTCCTGAGTGACCTGCTTTTGACCTGGATAGGGTTAAAATAATTCTCATACAGACCCCTGCCCCTTACCCACCTGCTTAAGGTTGGCCTGAACTTGTAGGTGAATGCCATTGCTAGCTTCTCAGTGTGGAACTTGCATTGAGAAACAACATCCTAGCTTCTTACAGAGAGGAGTCAGGTCAAAGTCCTTCCCGAATACAAGGATGGAGCTCCGATTTGCTCCCGGCTGATCCTGTCTTGGTAGGGACAGAAAAGGAGAGAGATTTGCTGCAGAGGATTCCGAGACATTGCTGTGGCCCACTCAGGAAAGTGGTGGGAGTCTGGCTGAAGCTGGCTGGGGGTACTTCCTGTCCCTGTCCAGCATTCTGACTATATGCCTGAGTCCCTGCCCCCCACAGGGTTGAAAGTTGACTGTGACCAGGGTGTTCTGACTACTCCTTCAGGGAAGTAATACAAGTGTCATTCTGTAATCTTCATCCCCACAGGGGTTCTTGTAGACCAAATAGGAGATTCCTGCAGCCTGGAAAGGAGGCTTGTTCCCTGGGCAGCCTGGAGAGAAGAAGGGACTCTGGAAGTTCACACTCAAGCAGTATCAGTGCCCCACCCCATCCCCCATCTGCCCTTGCTGGTTAGAGAGCTTTGGACCTTAAAGGCCAAGGCTTTGCCACTAACTGGACTAATCACAACCTGTCATTTCATCATAGAGCTCTGTTTTGTGAGGATTTGGGGTGCAGAAGACTGAATGAATGTTCTGAATGGGAGGCTAGGTGACGTGAGTTATCTACCAACAGTGAATGGACTTAATCAAACAGAAGTGATGTGTTCAAATGGTGAAAACAAACCATGGGATCATTAAACCTGAATGACTTGAACTGTGTCTTTCCTTAATGGTACATGCACATCCAGACAGAGTGTGAATGTAAATGCTGAATGAAGTAGAGGGAAATAATTTCGTATTAATCCATGAGCTTCACTCAAAGCAGAGAAAACCTCAGTGCTTGAACTGCCTCTGTACACAACCCAAGTGTCTTAGCGTGGATCGTGTGCATATGTGTGTAGGCAGCTACTACATTGGGAAAAGCTTTCTCATGGGTTTAGTGAGGGGACGTCAGACTTCTGTCATTACTAGATCAAACTCTCTCATTAGGTGCTGTTGATTATTCTCAACTCACTGCTGTTGGGTCAGACCTGACTCATACCGACCCCTCCTTGGGTTTTCAAGGCGGTATCACTACGAAGGTGGATTGCCCAATCAATCTTCCTTCCAAGGAGTGGCTGGTGGGTTTGAACCACCAGCCTTCTGGTTGTTGATGTTGTTTTTACATGCCATCAAGTCAGACCCAACTCATAGCGAGCCCTCCTTGGGTATCCGAGGTGATATCACTACGGAAGTAGATTGCCCAACCTTCCGAGGAGTGGCTGGTGAGTTTGAACCACCAGCCCTCTGGTTAGCAGTCAAATGCCTTAGGCACTAAGTTACCAGAGCTCCCAGCCTTCTGGTTAGCAGTCAGAATGCCTTAGGCACTACACTACCATGAATGCTCAATTATGCTTAACACCAGAACTGATGGTATCCTTGAAGAGGTTTCTAGAACACGAACGTAAACTATATAGTAATAATTAACTTCCTTAACTTCCTTTCCTTGATCTCCCCTAGGCTGTCTTGTGGTTGTCCCTATTTCTACGTGGTTGTGGACAAAAATCTCAGAAGGTCGGGCAATCTACTTCCGTAGTAATACTGTCTCGGAAACCCAAGGAGGGGTCGCTATGAGTTGGATCCGACTCGACGGCAGTGCGCTGCTGCTGCCCTTGTACATGGACAGAATAGACCCACAGTCACACTTGTTTCCTGAGACTGCTAACCCCTGTACTTTTGACTGTTCAGAAGACAACAAACAGGCAAAGAAGCAAGGCAATTTCTGATGAATAATTTTAAGTGTCTGGAGATACCTAAGGCTGTGAATTCTCCAGATTGAATAAAAAGACTGAGTTCCCTCCTAAAAGACACAGAACCTAGTAATGGAGCATTAATGCAGACTTGCTTGAAGTGCAAGTTCCTTTTCTCTCCATCCCTCCCCCCAAATAAGTTAGTCACTTGACAGGATTGCCATGACACTCTTAAAGGAGAGAGAATGAATGTAGATTTGAAATCAGAAACAAAAATAAATTTCCCTTGGGCCCTGGCCTCAGAATTTCAGACAGTAGACAGGGCATGTCAATAAAGTAGTGAGACTGAACTTTATTTAACTGTTACACACAGATGGGCAGGGTCAATGTCAAGTAGAAGAGATGGCGAGAGGATGTGATGAGAAGGCAGTCTGGGCACTCAACTGTAAGGGCCTTCTGCTCTCACCTTTTCTCCTTGTTGGCTACCTCCAATGTGGGTGATAAACATGCCCACATAGCATGTCCTTGATGTAAGTCTCCATCCGTTACCAGACCTCCAGGGCTCTCAGGTCTGGTCTTGTGAAGCTGCTACTGCAGGGTCTCTCTTAACTCTTGTTGAGATGTCATTCATTCCTCGAGGTGCTATTGTCCCATTTAACAGAGGAGGAAACAGGCTGAGACGCTAAATTTGCCCAAGATCATGTAAATAGGCTTGACTGGTCAAAGTCCACTTAATGTGGGCATGCTTCTGCGTCCTCAGGACCTTGGGGGTCGGTGCCTTTCAGGGCCAGTCTCCATCTCTAGGCTGAACTGGGCTGGTTGAAATGGAGAGAGTCTCCAGATGTAGATTGCAGCCAAGCAAGGTGTTGAGTAGGTAGGCAACCGTGGTTTTTCATGAGTTCTAAATCTGCTTTGTCCCGCAGTATCTAGATCAGTGCTAATTGTAGAACTTGGATAAGTCTAGCAAAATAAAAGGAGGACTAGGTATCACCTCCTGCCTCTCTGTGTTCCAGCTGTAACCTCTGGTAAAGCTGGAGGAACCATGTTTTGAGAATTGGAACTAGAACCCTAACGAATGGGTCACTTTGCCCAATCTGCAACCTTTAATCACTCCCCTCCACACTGCACCCTACCTCCCACCCCCAGGCAGCCAGCTACCTCGGATTGATAGTTTTTTGGTGCGAGGAACTAGAGTCAGACATTGGATTGAAATCCCAGTCTAACATCCTGGCAGCTGTGTGATACTGGTAAGTTATATAACCTCTCTGAATTTAATTTTCTTATAATGGGGAACCATAATGTTAATTTCAGTGTTACATCTTCAGATTAAAGAAGAAATAAGTACATACATGAAGAGGCAGCACAGCATCTGGAAAGGCGTAGGTGCTCAAACACACCAGTTCCCTTTTCTCCAAGAATGTTAAGTGGCAAAATTGCATATCAGACTGAGGTCACTGGGATTTAAGTCTGTGTTTCTTAAATACAAACATTGCTGTAAACACAAGAGAAAACGACGACTTAGTGTTGATCAGGTGCCTACTATAATGCTCACCAGCCACTCCTAAGAAGGAAGACTGGGCAATCTACTTCCATAGAGATACCGCCTTCGAAACCCAAGAAGGGGTCGCTATAAGTTGGAACAGACTTGACGGCAATGAGTTTTGTTTTTTGTTTGTTTTCACCATGGGACAGATTGCTGGCATTTTTCCTACATCATCTTGCTTAATTCTGCTGATGATCCTGTGAAGCAGGTGTCAATGTCTGTTTTCCGGATGACGAAATTGAGGCTTGGCAAGATGAAGTGAATTGCCCAAGACCCAGAGCCAGTAATGGCAGAACCAGAATTCAGACTCGGTTTATCTGAACAAAAGGCCCAGGCCCTGTCTGTCATGTCTATGCTGTCTCCCAGCAGAGGGCAACGGGGGTTAATAAAAGTGTTGCTCACAGAAATTTAGGGGCTGTGTTTTCATTTGTAAGTAGACTTTTGTTTTATAAAGCAGTTTAGTTT